TTCTTGCTCGTAACCCGAAATTAAATAGCAAGAATGAACAGTTGTCTGTGACGAATGATCTGAAGCCGTTCTTATCATTTTGTGATTTCGATAGCCTATAGCTATTTAAACATGTCCAAACCAGTTGGACTGTTTATTGTTACCGTACACTGTAGGCGACCTAAAGAGCCTCTATCGTGCTCTTCTCTGGGAGTCTTGGTAAGTTGATCGAGCTTGGACGCTGGACTGCGGTTGCATTGGACGAGTCAAACGTGCGAGTTGGTCGAGGCATTTGATGGCATAATACGTTTGATAAAAGTGATTGACTCACTTTCAGGCCTCTGAGGACGGCGTATCCGCCGAAACGTTAGGCAGCACAATAAATTGTTGCTATAAAAACCTGTCGTGGCAAAGAAGAAATTGAGCAGTACTCAACATTATGCCAAGGTTTAAAGAAAGGAGAACTTTTGAGTTACCTAAAGTTGTTATAAATTCACTTTGGCCCGCCTTTACCTTTTTGAATCCTACTTCTGCCCCCAAAATCAAAAGCACATAGAGCCTGGTTTCGAGGGAAGAAAATGCTTATAAACTGAGGCGGCAAGCCTAGACTTGCTCGGAATAGAGAAGTGCGTGAGATGAAATCATTTAAGAGGCAAAATAAGCGGCAGCAAGGGACTTCAAGCTTCATTTATAGTCTTTTCTGGCTAAAATCGCATGGCCAAAAGGGTTTCAAGAGAAAAGCATTATTAAATCACCACTGAAAGCAAGCAAGATGATCTAAAACAAATTCATGATTGTTTTGCTTTTATGTAAAACAATTAAACAGCTCAAAAGTGACTACAATCTCTTTCACCTCCCCGGAAATGGTTTCGAAAAAAAATGTCAGAATGAACCGAAAAGTGTCAATTTTTTTGTGACACGTGGCAAGGAGGCAGTCCTCGTAGAAACTATAAAAAATCATTCTTAGACTAAAGAAAGTATCACATGGGAGCTTTTCGAAGAAATGGGTCCGGATAACGGAAAAATACCGATATTTTCGCTAAGAATTTCTACGAGTCAATATCTAATTATACAGAAATTTCCTTAAATTCACTTCTGTCCCTTCGACTCTGCAAAAACCATACTTCTGCCTCTGAAAGCAGAAAAGTGGTTTCTGGGGAAGGACAGACCCATGAGCTTCATCCGGCACGGCATTTTCACTGAAACTTTAGGCTCTCAAACTGCAAAAACCACAAAACTCAAAAACCACATATCTGGCTCTAAAAGCAGAAAGACAGGGAGCTTGGTCTCGATGGAAGAAAGAATTATAGCCTCAGGCAGCAAGAGACTTTCGCCAGAAGTTTCTGGGTGTCAATGATTATACAGAACTTGCTTGAAATTTACTTCTGGCCCTTTTGGTCTCGAGGAGAAAACACTAATAAGCTCAGCCAGCAAGATACTCTCGCTGAAACTTTCTGGGTGTCAACGTTTATTCATACTGAAACTTGCTTCAAAAATTTACTTCTGGCCCTTCTACTTTGCAAAAAAAACCATACTTCTGCCTCTAAAAGTAAAAAATCACGAAGTGTTCTCGAGGGAAGGACAGACCCATGAGCTTCATCCAACAGGACAGTCTCGCTAAGACGTTTGACCCCCTAGACTTCGCAAAAACCAGTACTTCTGCCCCTAAACGCAGAAAAGCAGAGAAAATCCAGTCTCGGGGGAAGAAAGAATCATGGCTTCAGGCAACGGTATTCTCGCCAGAAGTTTATGGGTGTCAATAATCATACAGAAACTTGCTTAAAATTTACTTCTGGCCATTCTACTTTGCAAAAACCACACTTCTTCCTCTAAAAGCAAAACAGTACGGAAAGCTTGGTCTCGAGAAAATGGCAGAGCCATGAGGCTTCATGCGACAAGCATTTTCGCTAGGGCGTCTGACCTCCTAGACTTCGCAAAAACCAGTGCTTCTGCCCCTAAAAGCAGAAAAGCACAGGGAATTTAGTCTCTAAGGAAGGACAGACCCATGAGCTTCTTGCAACAGGACATTTTCACAGAAACTTTCGGCCCCTTCTACTTCGCAAAAACCAGTACTTCTGCCCTGAAAGCAGAAAAGCACAGAGATTTAGTCTCTAGAGAGAGACAGACCCATGAGTTTCATCCGACAGGACATTTTCTAAGACTTTTGACTCCCAAACTTTTCTAAGACTTTTGACTCCCAAACTTCGCAAAAAACCATAAAACTCAAAAACCACACTTCTGGCCCAAAAAACAAAAAAGCACAAGGAGCTTGGTCTCGAGGGAAGTAAGGATTATGGCCTCAGGCAACAAGATGTTTTCGCCAGAAGTTTCTGGTTGTCGATGTTTCATTATACAGAAACTTGTTTGAAACTCGTGGCCATTCTACTCTGCAAAATCCATACTTCTACCCCTAAAAGCAAAACAGCACAGATAGCTTGGTTTCGAGGAAAAGAGACTCATAAGCTCAGCCAGCAAGATATTTTCGCTGAAAACTTCTGGGTGTCAATGTGTATTCTACAGAAACTTGTTTAAAATTCACTTGTGGCCATTCCACTCTGCAAAAACCAGACTTCTGCCTCTGAAAACAGAAGAGTGGTCTCGAGGGAAAGACAGACCGGGAGACGGTCAAGAGGCGCGATTTTTCTGGCTGTCACCAACTTAAAACTTCAGTTTCTCGCTATGGGAGTGTTCAAAAAGTGTCGGACAAAGTCCATCGGCTTACTAGCTGTTTGAAGTAACCATTTGATAAGTTCGACGACTTTTGCTAGAAAACTGACCGAAATAGTTACAAAATTGCTACAAACTGCATTTTCATGGGGTTTTTGACCTTCAATTTTGTTTTGAATCGCTTTCAAAATGATAAGATCGAAGAATTCCTGCAATTCTTCTATGTACTTCTTTTGAAATTTCAAATAATCCTGGAACTTCATAAAACACTAAGTATGTGCTATATACTGCCCATCTGGTAATAAGAATCGCGCCTCTTGACATACATCCAAACAGACCCATGAGCTTCTTGCGACAGGAAATCATCTTTGCTGAAAATTCTGGCCTTCTGAACTTTGCAAAAACCACACTTTTGTCCCTAGAAGCAAAAAACAGGGAGCTTGGTCTCGAGGGAAGAAAAGACTCAGGGCTCAGGCAACAAGATATTTGCGCTAAAAGTTTTTGAGTGTCAATATTTGATTATACAGAAACTTGCTGGAAAAATTACCCTTCTTCTCAACCATACTTCTGCTAAAAGCGGAAGCATAAGGAGCTTGGTTTCGAGGGAAGGAAAGAACTAGGGTTTTATACGACAGGACAGTTTCGGTAAGATTGTCCTTCAAAAGAAAACGCTGGGCCAGCTTCTGTTCAAGAAATGAGCCCGTTCACTGGCAAGACATCATCGAAGAAAATGCTGCTTCGTTTTTACCGACATATCTGAGTTTTTGGCTGCTGGAAGACATAAATTGACGCTTCCTTTAACATGGCACTTTCCTGGAAATCAATCTGAGTTTTGGGATGAATCAGCTGCTCTAAAGAGGTGCTTCGAGGTAGCTTCCTTGTTTAAGAGCTGTGGTATCTGGGCAAAGGTATGTGCAAGAAAACAGCAAAGATGCTTTGCGCATAGTCAGTGGTAGTAGCTTCTTTTCCTAAGAGAAGCTTCTTTTCCTTCTTTTCTTCTTTTCCCTTTATTAAGAGCATAGTGTTTTGTTTCTACTACTCACAACATGCGGAAGGTCGCTGGGAAGATGAAAATTCTCTTTCTTGGGATTTTAGTTAATTAATGGCAGATATCAATGTATTTGCCCCCACCCACCTACTAGCGACCCGTAGGGTCGCTAGTCTTATATATAAAGCTGAATGTCTGTTTGTCTGTCTGTCTGTCTGTATGTCTGTCTGCATGTACAGTCTGCCCCAATCGGGATCAGGCCGAACCGTCGGCTAAATTTGCGCGCTCGCAGCGCTGGGGGATTGCGCTGCATACGCGCGCTGTCGCAGAGAGTGAAGAGATCGAGGAGAGAGCAGACTAGCTAGCCGCAGATGTGGCGCGAAACCCTTGCGGCGCGGACTCCCGCCATGCCGATTTTGGCCTGGTTCGGATTGGGGCAGACTGTATGTATGTCTGTACGTATGTTCCGAATAGAAAATTCCATTTCTGAACCGATCCGAACCAAACTTGGCACACATACACTACGGGCCCCGGCGGGTGTCATAGGCTACTTTTCGTCATCGATCGATATCGATTTTATCGATTTTTATCGATTTTTTTGCTGAGTTCACCTACGGGGTTGGGAGTTGGCACAGGGGGGTAATCGAGCATGGGGATTCCGAATACAATGTTGGTTTTCAGGATTATCGATTACTTTTATCGATTTTATCGATTTTTTTGCAAAGTTTGAGCTACGGGGCTGGGAGTTCGCACAGGGGGGTAATCGAGCATGGGGATTCCGAATACAATATTGGTTTTCGGGATTATCGATTACTATTATCGATTTTATCGATTTTTTGCAAGTTTGAGCTAGGGGGCTGGGAGTTGGCACACGGGGGTAATCGAGCATGCTGATCATCCCCAAGGGGGTGATCAGCATGCTCGATTACACCCTGTGCCAAATTCCAGCCCCCTAGCTCAAATTTTCAAAAAATCGATAAAATCGATAAAAGTAATGGACGATCTTGAAAACTAATATTGTATTCGTAATCTGCATGCTCGATTACCCCCCTGTGCAAACTCCCAGCCCCGCAGGTCAAACTTTACAAAAAAAATCGATAAAATCGATAAAAGTAATGGACGATCCTGAAAACTAATATTGTATTCGGAATCCCCATGCTCACTTCCCCCCCCCCCCCTGTGCCAACTCCTAGCCCTGTAGGTGAACTCTGCAAAAAAAATCGATAAAAATCAGTAAAATCGACATCGATCGATAACGAAAAGTGGACTGTGACACCCGCCGGGGCCCGAAGTGTATGTGTGCCAAGTTTGGTCCGGATACGGCGGAGCCGGGTAAGCCAGCTAGTATATATATATATATATATTTGAGCGTCTGTAATGAGCGAGCAACACATGCAGATATATTTGACTTTAGGGAGGTACACAGTACGAATGAGATTATTTCAAAGTACAAGGGGTACGAGAGTGTAGTATAGTACATGCACGACATACATATGATATCTCTAATACATTAAGAGCTGGTTTGCAAGACCTTTGATATAATCAAGAAAATACTACTTTCATTCCTCGTAGTATCGATTCTTCATCGCGCGATACTTCCGCAAACTGTACATGGATTCAATCTCCTTCAAAACAAACTCTGCTCGTTTCACAAGTTCCTCGACTTTTTTAGGATCCTTCTCTTCCTGCAAACATTCGAATGAGACATCAGGCAACTCAATTTAATAAGATAAGTCGACCTTCTGCATTATAACAGATATAGTTGCGTTAAATGAGTGAAAAACATGTAGCGTTTCATTGCCCAATACAAGCGATTTTGGTTTGCTGCCATCGATATAGTATAATGCACCGCACGAGGGGTGTAGGCCCTTCTGAACCTGCCCCAATCGCGACGGCTATTAGAGTTCAGCGCTAATTAGAGGTCACTCCATGATTGGCTAGCTCGCGGGAGCGAGCGGCTGACCTGGGCAGACGCGCTGCGGAGGCGGACCAGTTTCACATCGCTGGTAACCTACTCCCCAATGAGATCCTGGAGGTAATTCTCTAGAAAATTCCTAAATTCCCAAGTTCCCTGGAATTCAATAACTTAATTATTCGCTCTACTCCACACTACTTAAGCCGGCCACTTTCTAAGGTGGTATGTTTTTGATCTAGGAGACATTTTCAACGTCTTTTTCGACTTAATTTACTGTTTTTTAGTTCGACTGCATGCCCTACTCTCCTACGTCTGCCTCCTTGCAGCATCATCGAGTTACATTCAATTGAAATGTGCACTACATGCATGCCACTAGGGAAGCATACGTTTTTTATGATGAGTATGAAGTTTTTTTACACCGTCCATATCAAAAACGCAATCAAATAGAAATGCATCACCTTCATTTGGTAGCGTGATCTACATGGATTAATTTTGGTAGCGACCTTTTCTTTGCTGCACGGATCATGCTTTTTATAGCGTAAAAATTCCAAATGCACGCTCGTAAATTTTATTAGGAATGAGAAATTTAAGGAGATGATAATTTTCTTGGAAAGCTACAGAGCTGCACTGAAATGTAAGGAAATACACATTTGATAGCGAATTAGCGCAGATCACCAATTTAAGTTATAATTGGCCTTTATAAAGAGTTGTTAAACAAACTTTGATTACGTGGGCTTTCCTCAATAACATCAAGCAGCTCACATTAGTAATATGATGTGACGATGCACGACGTTATAAGGATCGCACACACAAGGGATTTAAGTGGAAAAAAGCAAAAAAAACAACGTTTGAAAGACTTCAAAAGAGATTCATGAGGAGTTTTTTTTTATGAATCATGTAAATGAAAAGACTTCGAAAATGTCTCATAATTCATAAACATACCTGCTGGGAAGTAGGGCTCACAATGATACTGTCAGAATACCAGACATTCAGAGGATGGTAGCTGTGTTTGGTTGAAGGTCAGCAGATTGGCTTGCATTCCACAATGCAGGAGCCGCACGAAAAGAGTTGGTGATTTTCGAAAATACGAGCCCTTCGCGTAGCACTCGTCCGCATACTATAGGGGACGGTGGGTTCAGAAGGGCCGTCTCCCCCACATGAGCACTATATATAGGCTTTCAAACCACATCCTGAGTTCTAGCGGTAGGCGGAACTCACAGGATGAGGCGTCACACATGCGCCACGACCGAAGGAAGTGGTGCTCCAGCGACAAAGGCCGACTCTTTTCATGGTTTTCTATCTCAGACAAACGCTCGGAGCCATTCGGAAGACTGAAAATCTTTGAAACTTCCGGGGAACAATCTTAACTAAGCTGCCAGGTAAAACGGGGAGTGGGCCACGCTCGCGGTGACGTCACATAAATCGAGGCACAGGACTTCCGGGGGGGGGGGGACTGAGAAAGCTGTCCTCCAAAAGTCCCAGAGATCTGAAGAACCAGTGGGGAAATTAGCACGCAGCCAATTAGCCATTATGCTGGTTATGCTGATGCGCAGGCGTTAGTTTCGAAAAATATCAAGTAAAGTCGATTACGCGAAGTCACCGGGGTCCGTGTAAGCTGGACGCACGCGAGCGCGCCTGCAACGCGGCTGCCGAGTAAGAGCGCTATGATGACTCATGCGCGCGAATGCCAACGTTAGCCTACAAGAGACATGCTCGCAGGCGTGCAGCTCGGTTCATTCCATGCAGTCAAATAAAAAACGCTGCGGATGCATTCTAAAACTAAAACCGTCACCAGCTTGGAGGACCGCACTGCTTCATAGAAGGAAACTGCTACGTCACCGGTGCGATCTTTTAACAGAGGTGTTCCTTTTCTCCAAAAGGTACGTCCTCTATAACCTGTTTTGCAACTCAATCTCCTTGCTAACTATTTTTAAAGCCTGCTGGATTTATATGGCACAATTTCCACAAATGCCAGTTCACTGAAGTTGGCATTTGTAAGAATTATGCCATATAAATCCACTATGCAGAAAAATGCTTAGATACCAAACAATGTCATGCTCATTCTTAACTCAACAACTTTGATTTCAAACAAAAACCATTTCAAACTTTGTTATTTCTTCTCTTGTTTTCGCAAAATTGTAAGCGGAGGATTTCTGCTCTATACCAAGCCATTTTTTCTACGCTTGTGCTCTTAAACCCCGTACCAACAAGCTGGAGGATGACATTGCCATCATGCTAGCATTTTGGGAATTGATCAGTTATTGGGGGATAATTAGAGTTCTCAGTAAGTAGTAAGCGTTCCCAAGATTGTTATCGATTTATCGATACAACGAATCAGCACATTAGTAAACAGGTCGACGTTTCAGCAGGGTCGCCTTTTTCAAGACCTGGGAAGTGAGCCAATAAATTCGACGCTCCAAGGGTAGACATACCTTCAGGGATACACTTCAAGTGGCTGTCCACCTCTCTGACACTTAGGGCCGCATGCACTAACATGGCCGCGGGGAGGGAATCGCAGCTTAAAAGAAAGCTTCATATTCGAAACTCTAGATACCTGGGTTTCACGTTGTCCTATCCGTAAGTATTCCTACTATCCTTCAGTATGAACATGTTAAACAGGAACGAGAAGCTGTACAAACCATTTTCCAGCTTTTGTATAATCCCTGATGATCCCCGGCGCTTTTCTTTAAAGTCATTTTCTTTATCCGAAGTTAACGAAAAACTTCCAAAGTTGTGCAGATTTTAGTAGATGTTGTTGCAGCTGAGCAAGGTTGTTACACAACCTTTATTAGGCTTACATTTCGGCGTCTCCGCCTTCTTCAGAGCATGTAAGGACGATGATGTTTGTAATCTATCCCTCCAAACGCTCTATCTCCACCACATCGGTACAACTCAATAGCCGACAGAGCCAGAAACAAACGAGAGACGCAAAACAGTTAGCGCTTACCTTACAGCCTTGCAGTCAAGAGCAGACGACCACCCACAGTGAAGCGCCGCTGCTATGATATTGATATATTCAAATCACTCCCCGCCTTGACCCGACCCCGACCCAGTAGGTCAAAACCCACAAAGGGTCTGGAACTGTGCTAGCTCGTTTGTAACGGCAACGCATTCTTCCTCTCTATTGATTTTTGGATTTCGCGATGCAATCCAAAAGGCCTCAAGAGTTTTGCGAGCTATTGTTTGGAGTTCGTGCGATAATATTGTGACAGCCGTATCGAACGTAGCGTTTTCATGACACAGCCTGCTGTGAGCGCCTAGAGGTGTTGATGATCTGCCCTTCGCAAGTCCGTCCAAGTGCTCCTTGATTCGGACGCACACCGGTCGCCCTGTTTCGCCCACGTATTCCTCACCACACGACTGACATGTGATGAGATAGACCACCCCCGCCTTCATGCAATCCCTCGTCTACCGTACGGACATACCACGCAATCAGGAGTCGTACAAATGTTATCGTAAGCACGATTACGTACTAGCTGCTTCTCGAGGTTAGGGGGAGGAATGTCTATGACTCTAACATATTCCTGAAAGCCCGATTGATACAGACATGCCCTAACCACCTTGCTGAGATCGTCCGCAACGAAAGGTATGCAAAAGGGGATTTTGGCTTCGTCTTGTGGACGTGCGCTTCTAAATGGCATGCCGCGATAAGAACTTTTGTCAGCAGGATACCCATTGGAAACCGCAATGGATCAGGCCAGCTCTAAGGATGTTGTTCGCTCCTGTATGCCGGAAGAAACTTTTCTAGCAGTCCTATACATATTACTAATGACGGAACGCTTCATGTTAAGTGGGTGTGCTGAAGTGTAATGAATTAAGATATTTTTACTAGTTGGCTTACGGAACCACTTAGTACGCCATATACCACTGGACAGATACACCTGAACATTGAGAAAAGCTAACCAGTTGTCGTTAGGCTTTTCGCGAGTGAATCTAATGTTGGGCGACTGCATTGAGAATTTCAAAACATGTGTCAACTTCTTGTTGAGTAGAACACACGATGTAGCAGTCGTCAATATGCGGCAGTATAGAAGGGGCTTACGCAAAAGAATAGGAAGTTCTACCCTAGACATGAAGGTTATAGCGACCGTAGGTGCCAACCTTTGCCCCATGGCTAAACCCTTAACTTGCTTGTAATACTGCCCAGACCAGCGGAATATGGAACACTTGAGACACTTGTCTAGCAACGTCATAACTTGCCTAATGCTAAAACCGTACAGATTGAGCGAGCTATGGTGCTCACATAGAAGCTCATATACTGCCTGCATAGCATCAGCGTTGGAGACGTTGGTGTAGAGTGAAGTGACGTCAAAGGATTCCATAACGCACGTCCTCTAATCGCGCGCTGCGTAAGCGCTCAAGGAAGGTATTGGTGTTGGGAAGATGAGCAGACACGTGTTCTAGCAGTTGCGAAAGAATTACGTTAAGCAACCATGATATCCTGTCATTAGGCCCTCCTACGCTGCTTATAATAGGTCTGACCTTATAATCCGATGGATCTGTGGACTGAAAAGAAGCAGCGGAAAGCTTGTGCGTTTTCACCAGAACATAAAGGACCGGGCAACTACGAAGCTCGCATTTCAACCGCGATATTAAAGTTTTATGTAAACCGGCAGCATCTGCAGTTTCGATCCATACCCTAAACGCCTATACTGCTTAGAGAATTCCTTCTCCGACGATGGTTGATATAGCGTGTCGTCCCCCAGGTGATGTGTCGTTAAAGCCACGTCTAATTCACGTGACATGACCACAAATTCCCCACCCTTGTCG